CAAGAATTTGGACTTTCTGTGGAAAATGAAAGACTCTGCTCTGGGAGGAGCAGAAGTTTTGCCCTGTGCAGGGTTTGACACTTTCATGCTGTTGAGGAAGAGCCTCCAACCCAAGACCTTTCTGTGGGAATTCTGAATGGGGGAGGATGTTCAGGGAGCAGGAAAAGGAATCCCCTCAACCTTGGTTTCACACCAACCCTGAGGCTGCCCAAGATGTCAGGGAATAACTAAACTTTAGTAGAATCACGTGTGCTAAGGCTAAGCTTATATTCATGACTAGACACACAATAAGCATTGTGTATTCAGATTCTCCAATTATTCCACTTGTGCTGCTCATATTGGAATGAAGCAATATTCCCATTGCAATGGGCTTTGTGGCTGTTCTCCAAAAAATGGGAGGGACTGAGCAGGTCAGATCATTGCAATGTCACCACAGGCTTGACTTTTGCAACAATGAAACGAAACAGACTTTTTAAAACATTAATTTTATATGAAAAAATAGCTCATGCCAAGTCATTTGTCATAATCACATTTCATTAACAGTAAAGTTAACAAAATCACAATATACAGATTTAGTATGTATTTATTTATATATGTCACTTTGTATTAACCATTAACTCTATGTAATAAAAATATATTACAACATTTGATATGTATCCACAAAGCACAAGCCATTGTAAACAGAACAGACAGCACAGGCCCCATTATTCAAAATCTGAACTCGGGAATAATATTTATTTTGTTGTATTCCTTTATGCTCTAGACACAGAGGATTTTATGTGTCTGCCTCTGCATTAATGGATTAATTTCTCTGGGATATCTCTTAGGAGACTCTCAGAGTTTAGCTTACCTGGGACCCTAAAATCCATGTTAACTCATGGCACTCTTTAAATGTGTTGTCATTACAAAGAGGTCTGTGCATCCCTTTATCCATGCAATTTAGAAAGGTTTTCATTTATATTCCCATTTCCCCCCTAAATAAATAGCGCCTGCAATTACACCCCATTGTCATACAAAAAAGTTAAATGCAATAAATTATAGTGGAATATTTATAATTTTATAATCAAACATGCCCTATCTACAGCAGCTATTAATGTTATTTCATAACTATCTTCCTTCAGACTGGCTCTAGGTGCTTTTAGAAATAGGAAACCAGCTATTTTCAATATTTGCAAAACAAAACAAATACTTTAAACACACAGACCAAACTTTTTATATCTCTCATGATATGAACAATCCTTATCCAAGCAACCCTACTGTCCTTGCAGCAAGGAGTTGTAAAACCAGCTCCTAAAAACTTTTTTAAAAAATCAAATAATCTCCTAATAGTCTAACACTGGGACAAATGTTTATATCCAACTGTATCTGGAAGGATTGGTAATAGGTTACATTCCTGCAAGAATTCAGAAGGGAATGATTAGTGATTGCCAAATATATGGAAATTGTGATCCTAAAATAATCTTCAAAAAGAAAAACACTGTGGAAAAAAAAAATAAATTCTAAGGATTAGAAAAATGCCCTAAATGTGTATAAATAAAGTTAATCAAGGCACCTCTTAGTTACCTATTTCTATTTTCCAAGGCAATACGTGATAATAGTTTTCAAATGTCTTATCTGGGAAGCCCTGTGGTTTCTGCTATAAAAAGACCCATTCTTTAGTCTGGCTGATGCAGGCAGCTTTATTTTACTCAAATGAGGCTGGGCACAAAGCACAGAGAACTTGTCCCCATCCTTGTCACATGTGTGCTGTGTGACCCTGAGGGCACCGAGCTTTTCACTGACTTTTTCCTCACAAAAGTCACTCAATTAATGAAATTTCTTCCTTTGCATTCTTCTTTCCCCTCTGTTGGTCATTGATCCCATTAGCAAAGCAGGAGGAGAATTTACCTGTCTGTGCACAAGGGTTTGGTGGTCAGGAGGTAAATTAAAACACTTTGGTTTCTGACAGGGCTTTTTAAGGTTTTTGTTCAAGAGCTCAGAGTAACAGGAGTGCAACACAGAGCAGGACAGTGGGATGGGCAGAGAGGGGAAGGCTGCAGCCAGTCCAGGTTGTATTCCCACTGATATCTCACTGGGATGCTCTGGCATTTCATTAAAAAGCACTGGATACAAATCCCAAGGGAATGGGGACTTCTGATTTTTTTTTTCTCTTGGCACGACATTTTAAAAAAAGATTTGTTTTAAAGCTCTAATTATAGGACTACAGTGATTAGAAAACATTTTTCTAATGCCAGAAAGATGGAGAGGAACTTTGGATGAGAGCAGGGGGTGGCAGGACAAGGGGAAATGGATTCAAACTGGCAGAGATTTAGATGGGATTTGGGGAAGGAATTGTTCCTGGCAGGGTGGGCAGGCCCTGGCACAGGTGCCCAGAGCAGCTGTGGCTGCCCCTGGATCCCTGGCAGTGCCCAAGGCTGGGTTGGATGGGGCTTGGAGCTCCTGGGACAGGGGAAGGTGTCCCTGCCCTGGCAGGGGTGGCACTGGATGGGATTTAATGTCCCTCCCAACCCAACACCCCTCTATGATCCCATGACTCAGTAATAATTACAAATGGAAATCCTTTTCCTCACATGACTTTGTGTGTAAATAATCAGCCATATGGATTCGTGCCTTTGGGTATATAGAAATCATGTGAAATACCATTTCTTCAACAAAAAAAAAGTTATTTTACTCCACAATTGCCTGCTGTCACACCCCTGATGCTTCTGCTTCTTGGCACACACATTTGTGAAGGGCACTTACAGCCTGTAGGGCTAATCCTCCTCCTTAGAAAGACAGACATGCATGATAAACTACAGCAACTTCTCCAGTTCTTTAGATCAGCAGTATTTGCTTTAAATCTGACAATCCTAAATACATATTTACACCAAACACACCAGTACAAGTGAGAAGCTGACATTTTACAAAGGTTGCAACAGCTCTTTTTCTCCATGTAAACTTTTACACCCTCCCAACAGGGACAGCTGCCTTTTGGAGCAGGATGGTTTTCCTAAAAAAAACCCAAAACTTCACCCATTGAAAATTTTCACTATATTGAATGCTGAAAGCATAAAAAGAAAATTAAAAAGGAATAGATTTAAGGCTGTGATGTCATTGGTCTCACTTATTCCAGTCTGGGGAGGTTACAAAGACATAATCCCTGATTCTGCAGACACAAAATCCTGTGCTCAGGATTTTTTTGCCCTCACAATCCAGCAAAGCAAACACTCAGTGACTCTGGGACCAGGGTCTAACTGAGCCTTCCGTGCTGATCAGGGATTTTTAGAGTCAACACGAGCTGACAGAGGTGTGAAGTCTCTGGCTTTGCTTTTAAGCTTTGTTTAATCAGAAGAACACTGAGTGTGGGGAGGAGACAGATCTAACAGCAGTGAAAAGCCATTTCCAAGGGGTTGTTCCAGAGATACTCACGTTAAAAATGTAGAGGACAAGATATTCAGAGCCTACTTCATTTAGGATTAAGAGAGGTGAGGGAGCTATGAAACCTTAGGCATGTAGGCCCAGAAAAATCCACATTCTGCAAATGACTTAAACCTCTTGGACTTTAAGAATTAGACTCTCTGGTGATTCAAAGTGAGCAATTTCCATATAAACCATCTGAAAACCACTGGAGTCTTCCCAAGCCCTAAAGGATCCTTCTATGGCAGCTGAGCTGCTCTTGCAGCCCCAGCCCAACCTGTGGCACAGCTTTGGCAGGATTTTCACCTTTTTCTTTGGAAGGAGTGACTGTCTGAGAGACTTGGAGAGCTCTCAGGGTGGAAACAGGCTACTGGGAAAAGCTCACTGCAGCCAAAGAACCCCAAATCATTGCAGCAAAGCCAGTTTGTGCCTCCCAGCCTCCCATTCACATCCACTCTTGCCTCACTTCTGGAACCTCTTAAAGATGTTCTGATACAGCTGGGGTTTTTTTGAAGTTTAGTTTAAAATATCTTCTCAAAGTTATTTTTTAAAGAAATATCCTTGCCAGAAGATTTTACTGTTGACCTGAAGCAGACCAAGATCATTTCCCAGAGGTGCTGGCAAAACAGAGGGGAAAGCACTGCCAGAGGCAGGAATGTGGCTTTTGGGGGCTTTTGGGGGCTTTTGGGGGCTTTTTGAGGTTCATTCCAATCTCAGCTGGTCTGGGATGCTGTGATATGTGTGGCTACAGCTGCAGCAGTCATCAAGCTCCATAAGGATTTGTCTGGAGCATGTTTAATCTCTAGGGTTTTTGGGTTTTTTTCAGACATAAGAGAAGTTCTAAAAAGTCTGATTTAGGGTTACTGAAAAGAGGTTTTTAGGGTCACATACCCAAAGTGTAAGAACAGGCATAGAACTTATTTAGTTATGTGGTTGCCTGACCTTGGAAGTGAGCACTTGCACATCAGAGGGACTCACTAAATCCTGTTCACATCCTTCCATTTGTAAATACCATAAAAACAGGGCCCTACACATAGAGAAGAAATCTATAAACCCAGTTTAAAGCCATCTAGTGGACCCAATCCTCAGGTGAAACCACCAATATTTTGATTTATGTCAAGAGAGGGCCTGGTGCTTAATAATTGTTCAACACACCCTTATCACTCTCTCATGGTTTTTGCCAATTGCAATTACCCAGATCTTGACATTCAAACTGGCTCGAGAGCACAACAGAAACCAGAATCACAGTTAGGGCTCTGAAATGATGTAAAAACCGTTAAAATGAACAAAAGAAAAAGCTCAGAATCCACAAAACCACGTTGTGGTCTACATTCTCTTAATCATCTGCCAGTGCTCTGCCTGCCAAATTCACAAGACATGAAGGAAATGTTAATTGAACATGCGAGTGAGGAGTAGATATTGCATATGGGTCACAGATACAACAAACAGAAAACTGCATATTGCCTAAGCAGCTGCCCAGATTTTGCACATGCAGCTCCAGATTTTTGGGCACAGGTTGCAGCCAAACTTCACAAACTTCTTCAAAAATATTTAAGTAACAAATGGAAATTCCCCCCC